CCGCCGTTGATTTCTGCTGCTGTGATCGCTGACAATGAAGCACGCTGCGAAGAAGAAGAAGAAGCGATCGCGTCCCCCTAAGGCCCCTTGCAACGGCGCGACAAATGACGAGCAGCGGGAGCAGCGGGAGCAGCAGCAGCAGCTGCTGCACCGACAGGAACAAGAACAGCAAGAGCAAGGGAGAATCCTAGATTCCCTGGTGGAGGCTTTTGATTCCGTCTCTCTAGAAGAAGCGGCGTCTGCATACGAGCAAGCTGGTGGGGATCCGAACAAAGCTGCGCAAATTCTGTCTAGTTTAGTGGATGGAGATGCTAAGAGTGAAGGTCCAGATCCATCAACGAGCGGATCCTCATCGAGTTCTGGGTCTGATTTTATGGAGACGGGTTGCCTGCAAAACGTGGGGAGTGGTAGGGGCAAGCAGAAGAAGCGAGTGGGGGCAGCCACCGGGACGGTATCAACCATGCTTGGTAAAGACTACACCAGGGCCAGCCCGAGGAAGCACTCCAAGGCTAGAGCGATGGAGGATTATCATGGGGTTTTGGACAAGGAGGAGGCAGAACAGTTCTTATGCTCGATGCTTGGCGATGAATCTGACCTCAGTATGGCCGTTGTTAGAGATGTTTTGTGTAAGTAATTTGCAATGTTATTTTCATTGTCAATTAATCAATCAAAATGAGAAAATTGCAAATTTCAGCCCTTTATTACATGGGCTTCCTTATACATTCAGCTACAAATTTTCTCATTTGTATTGGTCGAGTAAAATTTACCACTAGAGAAGGATTAGTAATAAATAATTTCTTTTGCCTTTTGGACTCAATGACTGAGATTAATCTCATTTGGAAATTGAATGCTTTGAAAAATTGTGTTTGCAGGTCAGTGCGGTTACAATGTTGAAAAGGTACTGTGACTCTGTGACTTGGGTGCTTTTTTCAATTCCCCACTACTTAATTGTGGTTCTTTTCTTCTCAACGCATGGTAAAGCAATATATATGGTATTTGCATGTTAAATTGTCAATGTTGACAAAAGCTTAATCTTTATGAATCTGACATTTTTACCTTTCATCAAAGTTTAAAAATTTGCTTGTTCAATTATGGAATGGAGCATGCTGGGTTCCTCCTGTTCAAATCTTTAGTGAAAAATAAAGAATCAGGGTTTTGCTTATCAAAATAAGGGATTTGATTCTTTTTCCTTCCTATACTTCCACCTTTATGTGATGTTACTGTGATGCTTTATGCTTTTTCCCAGGCCTTAGATGTATTGCTTGATTTATCTGCTTCATCCTGCGAGCGATCTGGCAATGAGAATGATAATTTAAGCGATACACAAGACTCCGGGTTGCTCATTGAACAGTTTGAGAATGTAAGTAATAGCACTTTTTACTTGAATTTGTGTCAAAGTATATGGTCGCCCATCAATTCTTTCATCATTGTTTTTTGTAACACCGTTCATCATTTAGTTAATTTTCTATGTTATAGGAATTTATGAATCTCATCCAAAATATATAGATTCCCCTCTCCCTTTGTGATGAAGCATTTGGCACTATGCTGTCCTGGATATAAAGTAATCAATAAAATTTTTTAACAGTTGACAGATGGGGGATCGGAATGCATATCTTACCCACCAGAATATGAATTTCAGGACAGTATATGGTCACTTGGCTATGATTCTAGGTAATTCATTCTGCCCGTTATTCTTCTTTTACCAATTATGTTTTTTATTCATTTTTATTTGAGCTACGTCTTGGGGCATTTCCTTTGGTATGGCATTAGAGTTTTGAAACTGGTAAGTAAATGAAGAGGAAGAACCTTCCATTGTCATGCTTTCTTAGGGTTCTTTTTTCTCCTCCTTCTTCACCTTCAAATGGTTGGTGGTGTACTATGATAAACACAGTTTTGCTTGTTATAATCTTGAAGACAGTAATATTCTAACACCAAAAGAGGGGTGGAGGTGGGGAATGGTCTTTTCAAGCATAAATGCTGAAGGATAGAATCATATCTAGAACACCCACCACAGGAGTTGTTTTTTCAGCTCTAAATGTATTATAAACACAACATAAACTTAATGTTTAAAATATTCTTTACCTTTTCTTTAAGCTTTATAATACTAGAGATCCACATTAAAGTACAATCATGATTGATGTGTTTACTGCATTGCATTTAACTGGTTTCTTTAAACCTTAGTTGAAGCCTCATCTTGAAACCTTGGTTTTCTTTGTACATTTTAGGGATTATTCTAAGGTTCTTACTTGCTCAGAAGCTGTCTCTCCAACTAGCTCAACGAGTAACTTGGCAGATCTCCCTCAAAAGGTGTTGGAATCGTTGTTTAACATGTCAAAGAGTCCTGAACATGAACCAAGCACTATGAACTGGAGGAGTGTGGTAAAGAAAATGCAGTCACTGGGACCTGGGTTTGATGTTTGTACTTCAAGCGTTTCAGAGCCTCAGCAGGGTAGCTATGGTATTTTTACTTTAATTTTGTCATGCTTCATCAGTATTTACAGATCCGAGTTGGTTGGTATTGACTTGCAAAATCAAGTGGTTGTTATGCATATAACTTTTAGCATTTTTATAGAATATAAGTTCCTATGACAGATGTCCAATAATGTTGTGATATGCCTTGGGTTTCACTGCATATGAACTTGTATGGACTTTTGACTGGTATTTTATGCTGGGATGTCCAGTGCTTATGGGTGTCTATTTCTTCTGATTTCAAATACAAGAGTTAAGATACATGGATTAATCATTTGTTTTTACCACATACATCTGATTGTTGGTTATGGTGTCCTTTGCCCTGCATCTTAGTTCTCCTCTTCCCCCTTATAAAGAAAGAAAACACAGACACATGAAGAAACTGAGGTTAAGTCATTCATACTTTCTCTTTCATAGAACATATGAAAGAAAACTTTCTAGAAGGAAATTAAATCAAATCAGTTGTTAGTTGTGAAATCACATTCCACTTTCCTTTCAGTGAGTCATGCTGTGTTCTCTCTTTAACAAGTTGTTTAAAAAATTTTTGTCAACTAGCTTATTTGTCTTACTTTTGTCCATGTTTTAGCTTCATATTTCACTCTTAGCTGTTTATATTTAATTGTCTCTGACTTCTAGCGAAGGGAGATGAATATCATGTATTTAGAAAGACAGCCAAAGAGCATTGGGATTCAATGAGAACCTATTATCAGAAAGTAAGAGGGTTTTGTCATGTTTCATCTCTCTGTGATAAATTATGACACTTAAAAATTTTGTGCCTGACAAGAATTTGAAGTGATAAAAGTGAAATTCTCCTGCAGGCTGCAGAGGCACATTCAAAGGGGAAATTTGAACATGCAGCTTACCTTTCTGATCAGGTATGTAATCTACTTTGGAGACAAACATTGCTGATATAATTTTTTTACTGAAAAATTATGCTGCTAGCCTTTATCTTTGTTTCCCATTTCTTTTTTATTTATCAGAAAGTAGATGTTTTTGTCTGTAATGTGTGTGTTTTCAATACGACACCAATATGATGTCTTATTTCATATTTTTCTCAGAATCTCTTGAGAATTAAATGCTGCTTGATATCTATCTTGCATTTATGTAGGGGAAGATACAAAACAAGTTGGCACGGGCAGCAGATGAAAAGGCAAGCCAGGATATATTTGAAGCTAGGTGAGCATCCTATTTAACTAACAGGAAGTGTTCTTCTTTGACTTTGCCTCTACCATCTATGTGCTAAACTGACCTAAGCTATCTGTTCTCCATGCAGGAACAAAGGCATTGAAAATGTGATAACAATTGATTTGCATGGCCAACATCTCAAACAAGCAATGAGGCTTTTGAAACTGCATCTCCTGTTTGGGAATTATATGCCTTGTGAGAATTAGCTGGACTTATTTCTGTATCTGCATCTGACTTAGTGAATGTAATGTTTTATTATTTAATTATTACTTCTCTTGGCTTTTTCCAGCAATTCAAACTCTAAGGGTCATCACAGGATGTGGGTCACGTGGTGTAGGGAAGTCAGTATTGAAACAATCGGTATGAGTTTTTAACCAGCCAATATGAGTATAGAATATAATAGGAAACAGAAAAAAAGACAGCAAAGGCACTGACTTCTTTACCATTAATACCCAGTTTGCATCTCTGTTGCACAGTCTAGCATTCATAATGTCATTTCATTCATGCAGGTCATTGAGCTTCTGGAAGTGGAAGATATTGAATGGAGTGAAGAGAACCGAGGAACATTGCTAATCAAGTTTGATGGGTATAGGGAATTTAGCTTCCTAGATACAGAAAGTGATACCGAGTAAATTATATCTGTAATGATATACTAACTGCAGCATAGTTTAACATCCACTACAGGTCATGTAGTTTTAACAAGGACAGGTATTCTATGTTCATATTTACATAGAAGTATCTTTGCGGTCTTCTGGTAGGTGATGGGTTAAAGCAAGGAATCAGCTCTAACAAGGTTCAGCTGATTGCTTTACCACTCATGTTCCATAGACCATACATGCAGGTCAGAACATGTACCGTCTTTAGGGAAACGTTGTATCTACACAGGTTGTTTTTACTATTTAAAACGCTGTTCTGTTGTTCATTATTAAGCAGTAATGGATGTATTCTGCCCATGTCTTTGGAATTAATTTTTTTCAGAGAAATGTTCTTCAGGTCCTAACCCTACAGGTAATTAGTTTGGAAAATGTTTATGAAAAAATGTGACAATTTTATCCGTCTGCTCCAGGAATGTTAGCCCTGTTGAGGGATGCTTCCATGACTGGGCAAAAGCTTATTTTTATCTTTTACCTTAATAAATTTGTAAATTTTAATTTTTTATTTTATATTATAATATTTTTAATTTCTCATATATATAAATTGAAGAAAATTTTTTTTATTTAATTTCAGATTATATTATTTTTTTTTATTAGTTGATTATTAATTTTGTTAGTTGACTATTAATATTTTGTTAATAAAATTAATAAATAAAATTAAATTTAAATTTCATGTTCTTTATAACAAAATGTGAATAATCAATTAACAGAATTAATAATCAGTTAATAAAATTAATAATTAATTAATAAGATATTAAATAAGAGTTTTTTTAAAAATTTTTATAAATAAAGGATTAAAGCTATTAAAATTTATGAATTTATTAAAATAAAAAGCTAAAAAGGAAGTATTAACCTCCACAACTGATGGTGATTGAGGTGATTGGTGTGTGGCTGTGTGCTGATTTTTCCTTGTTTTTTCTTTTTCTTTTAATCCCACTTAGCATTGCTCCTCCCGAACGAAAATAGATGTTGCCGTAGCCGTGCTTTGCAGTTGCTGCTGAGGCGCGTGGGTACTGCAGGAAATCTCACGATTCGTTAAAAATTGGACACTACTTTTGCGGCGGCCGACAGCTGCAATGCGCGCGAACTAGTACGTGTATTTTTTTTTTCTTGTATCCTGTATAGTTGAGGGGAATAGAAACAGATATTTTTAATTAAGTAAATTATAATATTTTTAAATATAAAAAAATATATATCAATCTTAATCTTAAAAAAAAAAAGA